GTTTTGTACACGTACAACAGCGCCCTCGTGTATCCCGACTGAACAATTAGTCTGAGTCACGCTACCAAATTATACACATTCCAGACACAAAACATAGAGGGAGCCAGACTGCCCCAATACCATGTGAGACCACACGCTCCACGCAAAAACACCAATGTGATTTCCGATGATGGTGTAATTCTCCTATGCCGATGTATATGTCCATAAGTGTAAAGATATCAAGAAGGTGCAAGTCCCTGGTTATGCCATGATATTGAAGATACATGTAGAAACCAAAGGAAAGCAGAGTTCCTGTCCTTCTACTTAACTGGGCTGTTTCGCAGCATACAGACAAATTAACTCGGTAACACTGTGCAGTGTGCGCGCTATTCCATTCAACTTCGAAGTGATCAGGTTGTCTAGAGTGTGCACATTTGCAGTTTATAACTAACAAATATGGAGGAGCATGACTTGGACTCTGAAGCTGGTGCGGCAGGACAGTTTGACGATGCTGATATCGCTGATGAAGTTACAAACAAACTGAAGATGTGAGTACGGTCATGACAGGAGTCAGGGTAGGCCTGGTACTTCGAAAACTCTTAAGTCTAAGTCACTAACTCCATGATACTCCGCGGGGCTCAGTGGAGACAAGGTTTACATGGCGTCGTAATGCTATGGGGTTTGAAATAGAATTTTTGTGGTGAAATGGTTTGCAGCCGTAAGAAAGCTATTACTTGAATTAGGCCTAAATCAAATTTTCCCCTGTCAGTATACCTACTTAATCTTTACCTCGTAAAAGGGGATAACAAAAGTTTTAGAGCGTTTTTTGGGAAAAAAATGAGATTTTTGCTCACCAATTTCTCGCTTCCACCCGTTGATTGTTGCTCTGTTCATTCCGTTCGTGTTTATCAGACTGCGCATGCGTCAAGCTCACCAATGACCGCGCTTGCTCCGCATCTTGGTTTGACCGTTTTCTGTGGCGGGGGTAACATCACACGTCTCGCCCGATGTGTCTTTCCAGGTCAGAGCAGCAGCTTGGACTGTCCCACGTTGAAACACAAGATTTCATCCCCCGCCACCGAAAATGGTTGAACCAAGATGCGGAGTGGAAGCGAGAAATTGTTGAGCAAAAGTCTCATTTTTTTTTCAAAATACTCCGCCTCATGCTCTGAAACTTTTGTTATCCCCTTTTTTGGAGGTACATGTATAGATTAAGCAGGTATGCTGACAGGGGAAAATTTGATTTAATAGCTTTCTTATGGCTGTGAACCATTTCACCACGAAAATTCGATTCCAAAACCCCAAGGCGTTATGACGCCATTTAAACCTTGTCTCCTCTAAGTCACACGGAGTATCACAAAGTTAGTGACTTAGAGTTCTCGAAGTAGGGTAAGTGGTTGTGCTTTACATACATCATACTTCATAGCTCCATGATTGACAATAATGATTAAAGTAACAGGGAGTCGTTGTAGAATACCCGCCACTCTAAAAAATGACCCCTGGAATGACTGGTTACATGAGTACAAGGTGAAAATCCCTTGAGAAGAGTGTGACACTTTGAGATATACCTGGCTATGAGGTTGATCGTACGGCTTGGCGGGGTATTCTGTTATTGAGCAAGTAAGGGTGTTAAAGTGAGAGTGTTTTCATGATTCCAAAGAGATTCAGCGTGGATTCCTCCACGGATTCAAGGACATAGTTAAAAGTGCTTTTCAGGAGTAACTGAAATTCTGACAGAATACTGGAAAAAACCATAAACCAAAAACAAAGACTGCAGAGTGTTGAATCTGCCTTGACAAATTGATTGACAGTATCTAGCTGCCTGACTCATTTCTTTGATTTTCTTCCCAGGGAATCTTCAAAGAATAGAGCGAGTGTTTTGAGCCCCCAGGAAATTGAGAAAGGAAAGGCACTGGAAGATAAAAGTAGGTTAGCATGTGCAGCATAACTGTAGCTTTAACTTAAGACATTATTTTCTGCACTTCGTCGGCCAACCTTCCCCATTTTAATTTTTAATACAGTTATTTTACTGTTAACAAACTACTGATGCTGAACACAAGAACCAGCAAATTATGAAATAAGGCAGAGCTTTTTTACTCTTAGAGTTATTAAAGAATGCCTTGCAACATGAAAATTACCCCACGGTATGAATAGTTACTTTAATAGTCAAAGAAACCATGCCCCAAGCACTAGCTACACAATTCAAGGATGTTGATAAATGCCCAAGTCTAAAGTAACTACAGGCTGTGGATAAGATGCACATACAAAGTTGGAGCGAGGATGGGACAGGGGAGAATGAAGGCGTTGTATTTCTGTGAAAGAAAGAAGTGACTCCCTTAACTATAGCTACGAGACGCCAGCTACGAGACGGGAAAGATGAGTAGCAGGGTATTCTGTAAAATTGGCTTCATTCTTGTTTCAATGTTGTTGCCATAGTGACTGAGATGATGGGTAGTGATGATGAAGATGAGGAAGATGATAGTCCAGATGAGATGTGGGCTTGGGAAGAGGAGACATCAGGTACTGAAGAGGCGGGTTCTCCTTGGGTTGTGCCAGTTAACCAAATATTTGGATGTTTGATTGATAACCATCGACCAGGGTAACTTTGACAGGTTAAACTGTTCATCATTTCTGTCTTTTTGAAAAGCAGAAATGTTTTCATTGTTGATTGGATGTTTTTGTCATATGAAGCCTTAAGTTTTATGTAGTAGTAGCAAACATCCAGCTACTTCTGTCAATCCGTAGTTAGAGTTCAATGAAAAAATTTTTAAAGGATTAAAACCAAAAAAATCTCTCAGGCCCAGCTACCAGGTGTATCTTATGATAAAAATTAATTTCAAGGAATTATATGAGAGAATCTTATATCATTCATACAGTGCATTGCGAAGATATGATGACTACAAACAAGGCCTGTGCCAAAGTTACCCCAGGGTGCCAAAGTTACCCCAGGGTGCCAAAGTTACCCCAGGGTGCCAAAGTTACCCCAGGGTGCCAAAGTTACCCCAGGGTGCCAAAGTTTTCCCAGTTTACAGTATTGAATATATTCATAATTTAAAAGAAAAGTTATATTCAGATCTTAATATCAATGACAATTTTGTAAAAAATGGAAAAATCAATAATTCAAACATATATGTTAAAGCCATTACAAATAAGATTTGTGAAGCAGAGTCACAGGTCGCAACATACATGTAGTTGTTTGAATGAGTAGTTTTTCTTAACGTGTTGATAGAACGAAATATTATATTTTGTCACAGATTTTACGAAGAGATTTAATGCATCACGCTCCCACACAGCACAGGTTAGGTTATTTGCGATGGTTTCTATTGAATAAATAATAAAAGAATTGTGACTGTCTAAGAGCTTTGTATCTTTATGACACACCTCTTTGTCTTTAACACATTCCTACATTTTGGCAAATGAACTGTGCCATATTGTTTATTCAATGAGCATCCAAGATATTGAGTGTTGTAAAACACAAACATTGTGGCTTCTTCCACTCTTCATGTGGTGTGTTTATTCCTTTTACTTTGATGTACAGCCCAATGCTTCACAGCCAAACAGTCAGAAGAAAGGCCAGTCAATTTATCAGGTTTGTTCTTTCACTCCCAACTTGCATATCATAAAAGATTAAATTTTCTAATTTGCACGATTACAGAATCCTTTGAAGTTATTTCTTTTCCAGTACCTAAGCAATTGTAAAATTGGAATTAAACAGGTTTGTTTTTTGTTCTGGCCACCATTGTGTACAAATCCCTTAACGTTTCTCCCCTTTTTGCAATATTTCCTAGCCCCAGGAAAAATTGTTGACAAGATTTTCTAACAAGATCAATGTTGAAAGATACGAGGGACCACAAAGCTTGCCAGGTAGCGCCACCAACCAAATACTAAAAACCAATAAGAAGGCAGAAGCAGACAGGTAATTGAATATTCATATCGAGTGCTCCAATAAAGGTAATGAATAAATTTCTGGAATATAAAATCCACCAATACAAAGACAGAATGCGGGATTTTTATGCATTATTCATATACACTTGTATTGGGGCACCAGTAAGACAGCAGAAAATCTTCCTTGAAATCAGTATTGCATTAAATATTTATTTTTGTTCAGTTGAATGCTCAGAGATTCTTTAACAGATGTTGTCAAAGTTCTTGAAAATTGTGGTAAAAGGAGCGAACATTTCTTTGTATTCAAGAATATTCTCACAGAAGGCCAAGTTAATTGTGTTGCCGATTGTTTTCTGCAGAGTACGAGTGAAAGACAAGGCTGACAGAGCAACAATGGAACAGGTGAGCTTGTAAATGGGGGAAGGTTTAGCCAAATATGGGGCACAGCATAAGGACTTATTGTGTAAGGACTTCTTCATGAAGCCTAGCCCCGAGGTTTTGAGCCCCGAGGTTTTGAACCCCTCATAGAACCAGGGATCCAGGGTTGGAGGACAGGGGGACACAGCCCCGACATTTTCTCAGATACCACAGCGCTTTCTTTGTTCATGCTGAGCCCTTAGGAAATCTGTGCTAAGATGAACAAGGTAAGTAACAAGGATTTCAAATCCATTAATTTCAAGGCACACACTCCCATCAGATTCCTTACTCATCTACATGTATATAATTATTATTCCAGCACTTGCTTAGCTTGGTTGATTTCTTTCATTAATTTCACTCATGCAGAAGTAGTTCTTATTTACAACCAGGTTCTAGATCCTCGGACAAGAATGATCATCTTTAAGTTACTCAGTCGTAATTTCATCAGCGAGATTAACGGTTGCATCAGCACTGGGAAAGAGGCTAATGTATACCACGCAACAACCAAAACGGATCTCCACAGAGCCATCAAGGTAGGTCACTGACCTTTGAACTTAGTTCTTCAAGTCCAACTTTAAAACTTCTTATTCCCATATAAATGTTGGCTTTGGGCATATGTTGAATATATTGCAATGTGTTGTTATATTGGGTGCATGAGTATTATTTTGCATCACCCCTATTCAGGTAGTGACCAGTAATAACTACTAGTAAAATAACAGAAATCTGCTTTTATTGGATATCTTCTAGGTTTATAAGACTTCAATCTTGACATTTAAAGACAGAGACCGGTACGTCACTGGAGAATTTCGGTGAGTAGCAACAAATCTCCTGTCACATCTTGCACCTGCTGCCTTTAGTACTTTGGCTTCAATTAGATTCCATGAGCAGGACACTTTAATATATTGGAATTCAGGTTAGTCAGCCACGTAAAGTCAGATCTTGTCAAAGACGTGAAAGTAGTGAGTTTCTTTTGTTCCCTAATTTGACAGGTTTCGTCACGGGTACTGCCGGCGCAATCCACGCAAGATGGTGAGAACCTGGGCCGAAAAAGAAATGAGAAACCTGATAAGGTAAGAAACCGGAACTTTTACCACTAGATCCAACAGAAAGAGTGTTCATAGGGGTAAGCCCCATTTCCGGCTTCAGATATAAAGGGGGACCACAGTATCAGCTATGGAAGCCACATAACAAAAAGAAAATATAATTTTTATACTTGTGTTTTTACCGATGGGGGCCAGCTTCCCACCGGGGGTGCCTGAACCCCCCCCCCCATGACAGGCTCGACTTGGGTTAGCTCACTTTCAGAGTTGACAGTTGTAAGCTGTTGTTTGTCCTGTTAAACAGAATTCCACCAAAAATGTGAGCTTTTGCATTTGATTGTATTTGGCATGGATTTGAGTTTGCTCTTTCTGACTCAAAAACTGTGTATATAAAGAATGTTGTCCATATATTCAAACGCAAAGAGCTTCTATTTTCTTTATCTTTTTCCTTTTTTTTTAATCTTCATTTGACTGCAGATTACATTCAGCAGGGGTTCTGTGCCCAGAACCGTTCTTATTACGTGGACATGTGCTCATCATGGAATTCATAGGGACCAATGGCTGGTGGGTATAATTGCTTCAAGGCTCGTAAGATATTTTGATCTGCTTGTCATCATGTGATCAGTCAAAATGTCTGATATCTTGCTGTGAATCTGAAGCCATGTCTAAAACAGGTTTCTAGAGCTATGGCTAGGTGCGTTGCCAGTGTATCATTGCATATATCCAATGGAGGGAAGACCTGGACCTAGCTCTAGAGAACAGGTTGGATGTAGCCACAGTCTTTCATTATTTTTACAAGTTGACTCGCCGTTAACCAAGTCCCGCCGTATATAATAGAAAAAGGTCATTATACTAAAAAGGTCATTATACTAAGCCACACATTCCCAGTGCTGCTGTCTCATTCCGGTGCCTTTACTGTAAGATACGACCCCTAAAGATGGCCACAGAACTGGACCACCACCCATCTGTCTAGCGCCCCCACTGCTTCATGCACGGAGGAAATACAAATTTGGAAACATTGCCATTTTTTCGTTTCTTCGTCAGGCCAGCGCCGTTACTGAAGGATGTATCTCTTTCAGAGAGCATGGCAAGAGAGTTGTATCTGGAGTGCATTCAGATTGTCCGGCAAATATATCAAGATGCCCGCCTCGTTCATGCCGATCTCAGCGAGTTCAACATGCTGTAAGTAGACTCTTTCAAGCAGCCCTCAACTCTTTTGGATCCTGCTTGAAGAAGATAGCTGGATTGAGGAAGATAGAGCCCAGCCTCTATTACTTTACCTGAGGCCTGATGCCCCTTGAAAGTTGAGGTACAAAGACTGTGCCATTGGTTTCCTGCACTGTGGAGGATTTTGTAGAATTGAGGAAGATAGAGCCCAGCCTTTGTTACTTTACCTGAGGCCTGATGCCCCTTGAAAGTTGAAGTATTTTAAACTGTACCACTGGTGCCCTGGTAAAGACTTTTTCATAATATCAAACTCTCAGCACTTGGGATAAACTTGACCAAGATAGATTTCTTCTCTCCATCCTGTGGAATGTTTACGACCTAGTTTACTGTCTCTATTACTTTAGTGCTTTGAGTGCAGTTACAATTTTAGATTTATACTTTAGCCAAAGAAATAATAAATTTCACTTTAGATACTCTTTTTTTTAAATCTGTGCAGTTACTCCGAGGGCAAATTGTATGTGATTGACGTTTCTCAGTCAGTGGAACATGACCACCCTCACGCTTTGGAATTCCTTCGCAAAGACTGTACTAATGTCACAGGTATGATGAACTCATGGTCGCGAAAATCAGCTCAAAATTACAAACTCTCCTAATCAACAACTCTCTGAAATGATTTTACATTTTACCCAGACCCTTGTCCTGTGACAAGCATACAGACTTGTGAATTATTTGGTTCGTCTTTACGCCAGTAATCCTCTGTGCAGCGCTGTTCACTTTCTGAAAAGGGCCATTGTGCAAAACTTTGACGTGCCCAACTTCTAGGGCAGAGTCAATTCAAATAATTCACTATTTGATTATTCGACATTCAATTCGATCGAATATCTGAATATTCGGTCTTACCGACCGGCATATTGTTGATGAACAAACCATATACAAAAATCAGTTGCAATGACACACAATTGTACATCATAATCACTTTAATAGCTTCTCACTTCTAGGACTATCTCCAGCCACGATTTAGCAAGATTTAAGAGATGAACAATACTTCTTGCCCTGTTGAAAATTTCTATTCTTTTCAAATTTTTAATGAATAATTCACTTTTTTTAGCTCATTATAAGATTTATGTTGCTTTTCATTTGAGTCTGCTTGAAACAAACCTCCATGGCGCATTTTACTCATTTAAAACAAAAGAAAATTATCCCATCTTTTCATAAATTTTGCATTTGAATATTCAAATTCGGAAAATAACATTCAAATATTTGATAATTTATCAAATATTTGGATATTCGGCAGAGCCCTACAGACTTCACAGCATTTTTTCTGTCTGTCCTTTAAACATTAACATTTCAGTCACGCATTACACAGTAGGTTCACTTATTCGTTCAACTTAAAACTGGAAAGGAGCTATCCAGATTGTTAAACATGGACCTTGAGGAATCGTCGTCATTGTTGCTTTCTGCTCGCAGATGGCGCTGTTCATCCTTACAGGGTCAAAGATCCTAGAGAAGTTTTCCCAACAAATATCACACACGAGTGTTTTTCCCTTTTGTTTTTACCCTCAGAGTATTTCCGGAAGAACGGCGTATGTACCATGAAAGTCCGAGAACTGTTTGATTTTGTGACAGATCCCTACATCACCAAAGATAACATTGATGAGTACCTGGAGACGGTGAGTAGGATTGAACTTTCATCTTTCTCACAAAGACAGTTTCCAGTGAAAATTGGGTAGCATTTCTCCAAATTCATGTATTGTGGATTTTGTATTTGCTTAATAGTGACGCAAATAGACTTGTGTGACACTTGAATTGCCGCTGCCAGCATTTGGCTGTACTCACTCAGAGATCGTGCAAGTTTGTGCACATTCAGATGGAAATGGTTTTTCAGAGCGTGGCCCCACATGCATGTGAACAAGAGTGTGTATGGAGTGGGTCAACCCACTGGACATTGGTGGTGGTCGGTGAAGTGCCCTCATTCGGCCACACACGGAGCTCATTGTAATGTCAAAATTTTTCTGCAACATATGAAATTTGGCTCTTGCAGGCGATGAAGTCGGCTTCCGAGAGATCTGAGCAGCAACTATCAGAGCAAGACAAAGTCGACGAAGAGGTCGGTATTTTTTAACGATCCCAGAAAACCATGAAAGCATTTTGCTCTGTTGATTGAAAGTTTGCATTTCCAGATAAATTCAATAAATTTTGCTGATCTATGTTCACAGGTCTTCAAAACAGTTTTCATCCCTCATAACCTTGACGACGTTGGAGATTATGAGGAAGATATCATGAAAGTTCAGAAAGGCAAGACAGAGGAGGTGAGAATTGATTCAAGCAAGTCTGTCGGGGACAGATGGCATGTAATTCTCGTCATCCAAGAATATGTGCTGTCAGTAGCAAATGTTTCGGAACTATTTTGTCTCCAAATCCTTTCAGCTGATACAATATTCTCTTTTCATTTTTTTGCCAGATTTTCTACCAAAGGTTGACAGGTTTGAAGGATGAAGCATCTGTGGTAGGAATGTTTGCAGTTCCACTAAAAGAAAAAGGAGCTGAATAACTACAAACCCGTTAACTTAGATTTTCTTGTCTCAAAAGTGTGATTAGATTTTTCAAAATGATCATTATGAGCGGGTTTGTCTTAACTTGTCCAAATATGAAAAATATCGTGTCGATTGATGTGCTTTCAAATCAATTAAACTTTGATTAATTATTGATTTCCTTCGATTTACATCATGCAATAAATGTTACAATGCTGGTTTATTGTTGATTTTTTGTCTTTTGATTGTGTTATTATTGATTTCTATACAGAGCCCAGGGGACGCAGAGTTAGGCTCAGAAAGCAACGACAACACAAGTGAAGATGAGGAAAGGAGGAGCCAAAGTGGGTCAAGTTTACACCATCGCCCACGAGACGAGTCTCCTAGTGCTAAGAGGGTAGGAAGGATATTGTCTGAAATAGTGGACTTGAATAAGCATGCAGTATGAATGACAGTGTTTTGGTGGAGACAAGAGAAGATGCAAGATCATTGACAAGACCAGAGACCAGTCACAAGACCAGATACAAGATCAGTAACATGATCATTTACAAGACCAGACACAAGACCATCAGTAGGACCAGACAGAAGACAAGATACAAGGCGAGACACAAGACCAGTTGCAAGACATGGTTCATAAGACCAGTCACAAGACATGGTTCATAAGACCAGTCACAAGACATGGTTCATAAGACCAGTCACAAGACATGGTTCATAAAACCAGTCACAAGACATGGTTCATAAGACCAGTCACAAGTACATGTAACAGGATGAACAGCGACAAAGGAATGCTTTTGTTGCAGTTCATTTGAATGGCTTATGACTTGAATTCAGACTGGAGGTCTGTTATTGTGGTTTCATGTGATCGTTTGAAGAGGTCTCTCCAAAAACTCTGAATACATGCAGAGCCTCTTTATTCACGACAGATGGGATTTATCTTCTACCTGCTCAGGATGAACAAAAACCGGAAAAGAGCACTGCATTATTTTAAACGATCGAACTTAGTCAGTTTTCCCTCAGGGAAATGAGGTTTCAAAGAGCCCCCCCCCTCGCAAATTGTAAACAGTGTAATGGGTTTATTTGATTATGTGATCGAGTAATGGACCTTGAGAAAGTGACGTCAAGCAGACATTTTGTCTCAAATTTTTTGTTTTATTAGGAGCGGAAAAAAGCAGTGAAGGAGGAGAAGAGAGAAAACAGGAAGAACAAGATTCCGAAACACGTCAAAAAACGGAAAGAGAAACTGGCTGTCATGCGGAGAGGCACACACAAGTAATGCCAGGAAAACAAACCGAAAAACCGTCTTCCTTAACCTGTTACTATTTCCATGGTAACGGCGACGTACCAAACAGCCGTAAGCACGTAACCGATGACAACGATAAAGCTCACCAGTATTATTCATGTTCCCATGAGACTGAGGTTGCTCAGTGAATGTGGATAATAACGATGGAGTGCTTCGAGCGCTATGATGGATTATAAAGACATTATTGTTATGGCAGTTACGGAAAACGATCTTGGGAATCCCACAAATTACCCCATTTGGGGTTTACTCACACATGACATGCATATTCTGCAGGTATTCCATTTAGTTTCTCTTTCATGTAGGCCTACAGAAACGTTTATTTTGGTTCTTAGTTTGAAAATAGCATACATGTACACATATTTTTAAGAACATCTGGAAAATATGAAAAAGGTTGATATGACGGAAAACGTGCACCTGCTAAATCGATACTTGAGAGACACAGGACTATTGAGTTGAATTTCTATTCTATCGTCCGTAATAGCAACAGTCTGACGACCCGTTAACATCTATATGCGCCTATACCGGCAACTTTTGTTTCCTTCCCAAACCATTAAAACAATTTCGTGAGCGATTTGATACAGTTCCCCGTCATAAAGATACTGTGACAAAAATCCTCCCACCATCTGTCAGTCGAAGGGAGTTGTTGTCTTTCAAGGGTTAAATTTCTAAATTAAAAAGGTGTTGAACTTGACCTACAATCTAAAAGCGAATTCAGCTCTCGATAAACTGTTAACATTTTGTACGATCCATGCAGCAGTTGAAACTCTCCCACAGCAGCAGAATGAAGTCCGGATTATATATGAAGTTATCAGCCGTGGCATAAGTCAATGATGGTATAAATATTATTCTTGTGGTCGCGAGTTTGAATCCCGTCATAGAATTTGAAGCTACATCCTTCCTGCTACAACCAGTGCATGTGGAGTTCAGATTTCACCCGTGCAGCTGAGAAGCAGGTAGCTGGCATACCGCTGGGCGTCGCCACTGGCACGGCCAGTCGTTCCATCTGCCATGCGACCGAACCGCTGCGCAGTCTTCAGCAGAATTACTGTCGTTAGGCTCTCCTTGTGTCCAGTTTCTATACTTCACATCAGTGGATCCGTCTTGGCACACCCATGTACCTGTTAAATACAACAGTCAGTCAATGGAGAATCAATGGAATTTCTTTCAAAATCATATTCTAAGACAACGAAATTTTATTTTATAAGTGAACGTGGGACCGAGTTGCTTTATACCAAGTCGAAATAAAACATCGATCCGTACCACTTGTAGTTGTACATACCTTCGACTTGCAGGTCGTTGCAGTTGATCCAAAACTCCTGCGCGAGGGTAAGAAGAAAATCAGTTTCTTGGTCTGAATTTGGGGCAGCAAAACCACTCTCCATCTTGATGCACTCTCCTTTTGCTTCAAACCACGTCAGTGGCTCGGTGACTTTGTAGCATTTGTCCCCCCACTGGATCCAAGTTGGAGGACACGCCTTTCCAATTACCACACACCTCATGTCGGTACCACCTGTGCATCCCAGCAACAAATGAAGGCTTAAGCCAAAAATGAATCGTTTTGGTAACATGGTTTTGATGTTACCAACTGATTCCTACCTGTTTAGTTCAGCTCCTCGCTTAAATATAGCTTCGATTTCAAGATTGTCGCATTACTTCCGCAAGACGCAAACGATCAAGCTCCACCAGTCTAGCTTACTATGAACTGCCTACAACACAAAGGGCCTATAATTGCATTGTATAATTTGCAGGAATGCCCTTACTCGATGTAATGGACGCTCGCTCGACGAGGGCTTCGCAGACCAATGAGTGACAGACTTTGACATGGGCGAGGCCAGGATTTTTACTGGGAGAAAAACGAAGTTGGGAAGGGGAACAATTTTCAGGGGGAGTAATCAGCTGAAATATGATAAACGAACGTTAAAGGGGTCAGTGTCGGGGGTCAGTGTCGGGTTGTTTTCAACAGTGGCGTATTCAACAGGTTTTTTTTTAATAAAGAATGGGCAAGCTGGAAAGAAATATTTATCAAATGCTAGCACCAAATCCGTAAGAAAACAACACCAGCAAATAAAAGCAACGATGTCTGGACTGTAAGGCTTTTAATTTTTTTCTCTACATCATGTTGAATAAGCCCGAAGCAGCATTTGCTTTTGAATTTGCCGCCCCCCCCCCACCAAAAGCTGGATACACCGCTGGTTTTCAAGCCGACAATAAGGGTCGTCTCCTTTTATCCTTTTATATTTTCGTTATACCTTTTATTTTGGAATGTTTTGTCAGGGGCGTGCTCCCTTCCACCTAGCTCGACGGCTTTTCTGCCAGTCACTCAGTACGAATGTCAAACCAAGTTTTACGAAGTGTTTTCTTCGGTATTTTGCGTGAAACGAGAAATATATACGTGTCTGCTGTGTCGTTTGCATCAATCGAAAGCCTAATAGTTAACAACTGGTAGGATGGTAGTACAATGCTCATCTATCGACATGAGCCACAAAAAAGTCTGGCCACTTTTAGTCAATTAGCTCTCCATTATTTCTCCTAACGAATCCGGTGACCATGGTTACTCCACGCAAAGTGGCTCCCATCACGAGCGGTAACGATTGTTATAACTCACAGTCGCTGCGTGCAAACGAACCTTACTGGGTTTTGGAATCGGGTGTGTCCTGTGAAACATCGCTGGATTCGTCTGCACTGAAAACTTGAAAGGAGCAATATATTTTCACAGATAACATTGGTTAGTTTTTGATAATATAGGCCTACGACCCAAAACATCGTGAAACGCATTAGGAGGCTGCACCGTTAATATTTATGAAGTCACCAAGGAACTTCCATCATTTCAGATAAAAAAGATGCAGACATGAATCTAAACATTCAACGCTTCTTTTGTCCACAAAAACGTTTGTGTGATGGGTGTGGGCAGGGCTTAGGGAATGAGTAGGGGGTATACATTTGAATATAAAATTTAATATGCATATTTTAAGCACATTACGTATAACAAAGATGTGTAATTGTTTTACAATATATGATCATTTCTGTTTAGGGGATAAAGATATTCAAATAACATCAAAATGAAATATATTCTAATACAAATACTTCAATCCCACATTTATTTACAAAATTACAAGCTCGCAATATCAGGCCGTCTCAGTTTTCATAACGATACGAAAGAGACTTGACTTTCCTGTCTTCGTTGAATAATAGAGACCTTTTTCAGAACCAATTAAACAAGACATATGCCTAGTCTCAATGAGTTTTTCACTAAACCCACATACATCCAATGAGAACAAAAGATGATATTGGTTTGTCCTATGCTCAGTTACCAATAATTACAATACAAGATAATGTTCATTACTTATTTGAAAGTTTTGTTTTCGCATGGTTTGTCTTGAATATTGTACTGCTCCACTCAGCATGGAGAGCTGTTGGATCACAGACAGCATGCTGTTTGCATCCTCCTTGCTGAGATGGTTAAACAAACTGGAGAGAGCAAGGCTGAATTGGGAAGCTGACCTTCCTAATGCTATCGGCGCTGGTAAGTATCACCAAATAAACTCTGTCTTGGTACATTGTATGGTAATGGCCTTATGCCTGAAAATGATACGTAGCGAAGATTCTAATTCATGTCTAGGCAGGACGTACAAAGAAACAAACGAAGATATGACAGACTGATTGCACAAAATGTGTCGGGTCAGTTTGGTAGAAGTTTTCTCTCCGGCTTTTGCTTTGCAAATTTTAATACCGGTACACTTTACAGGATTTGTAGCATTGCATCTAAATTTCAAATAACATGGAATTGGTGTAGAAAAATTTTATCATTTAACCTCAGAATTACAACCAGAAATGCGCAGTTTGGGAAGAAACTAATCTTCATTAACACTTTGAGACATCTTGGAATTTTAGAAGCTAAGCCCTATGGAGCTTTAATCTTTAAAGTTTGTGCAAGTCGTGTTCACGTTCGTTTTCATCTTTTTCATCAGGTTGGATCCCTGACCCGTCGGACACCGCCCTTGGTACCAGCAACATGACAGCTCTCCACATCTTCTCCAGTCTCCTTACCCAAGGATGTGGGAACGAGGACGCGTGGGTGGAAACGTTCTCCTTAGCTTACTCCAACGCTTCGTGGAATTGGAAACACATCACCTATCAGGAGAGTGCACCGTTGGTAAGCATTCCAATTAGCTTCTCCTGTCTCACAGTGGCGACCTCTGTTGACATGTAACCGAGAATTGCATGTCACTTGCGACCAAGGATCAAAGTTGGTGTCGAGCAAATTTGCATATACAGAGCGAATGGATGAAAGTGACTTTATTCATGCTTAGAAGTCATTTATTGGTCCCAAAGCTTTACCTAACGAGTGAATAAAACCATTGGTTTTAATAACTAGATGATTCGTGATAAACAAAGAAACAGTCTGCTGTTAGGATTGATTGAGTTTGAAAAAAAGGACTTTATTGGGAAATTAATGTAATGAATTGGTAGAATTTCAGTCCAAGTCACAGCTTTATATGGTTAAATGTTGTCATTTGTTTTTCAAAATAAAGCGTTTAATTTGTGGTGCATGTAATGTGCCAACATGTTCACAGTAAGACTGACTCTTTACAGGTGGTTACTGGCAATACGGATCAGGTAACGGTCGTGGAGGTCACCTTTGGTGAAGTCTACGGCCAATACTTGCGGATCCTACCACTCTCCTGGCACAACCATGTGGGCCTGCCTTTTGGGATCGTCGGCTGCCCCAGGAGAAACGGATGCAATGTATGTAATCCCTTTTTGGTTCTCAAAATATACGATGTTCCTTGCTTTTATTTTATTTGTAGTCAAACTTCTGTTTTCCTAAAAATAGTAGCTGTGGAAGCACCTCTTCATCGGTTGAAAAGAGCCATGTTGATGGAAGTGTTCGTATTTCTGGTAGCGATGCGACTGTTTGGCGCGCATTTCATGCCAAAGGAGCTTGTGTTGCTGGGAAAAGTGCGCCCTCTCCTGGTTGAGCTCAAGACTCATACGAGAACCACTCTGTTGACCGTGCTTGGTATGGTCAACCTTGGCACTTACGATAAAAATGATAATGCAGGGTCTTTTTTTCTATAATAACGGTCTTGTTTTCCGATGAAGGTCAACTCTCATTTATGCATGCCGCCTCTGCCAACCACTGACCTGACGAAGCCGATTATCAAGCCAAGGTAAATCATTAAACTCTCATTTAGTGTGGCCTTACGTTGAAGTACCACAGACTTGGAGGAGAAATATGGAAGGAAAATATCGTGAGGCTTACATTGGTTTTATTTTGTATAATTCAGCAAGCCAGGAAAAAGCAGAAAATATTTTTAAGTACCGGATATACCCATCCAGTGATCACGAAAATCACAAAACAGGAACAATGATTATTCCATTTAACAGTTTGTCTGAAAACTGTTAAGGTGTTATCAGTTTCTTATATAGTTTTGTCCTACCACAAACATCATGGACAATAGCTTCAGAAAGTTTGGCAGTTACTTGGGCCCTATAAACATCGCTGTTCTTTTGACAATGAAGGCTAAACAATCATTCTATATTTTTCACAAATTTCTGTTGCGAACTGAGATGCACAGTACTCGTCTTTTATGATTTCCTCGAGAGTTTCTATATTTTGTTTTTGTTTTTAATTAATGGTGAATTTTAGCGTTCAGGAACAATAATTCACGTATTCATCCGATCATCCGCTACAGAAGAGAAAAGTTATTTAGTGTGAGACTGTGCAATCATTGCTAATGCTTGTGAAGTTATGAGTAAACCGTCGAGGACGAACGATAATTCAGCATCAATATAACTAAAATGTTATCAGATCTCAGCATGAAGGAAGTCGTCAGAAGTGGAGCACCGGTGCAGCAGGTCGTGTGCATATCACAGAGTAATCCAAACTACATGGTGTGTCGTTCCATTTCTTAGTGTTGCCCCAAACGGAACCACAGTCTTCCTCTTGGCCCAAGTTGTTGGGTTCGCCTTGATTCCAATCCCGATACTCCACCTCGATGGACCCTTCTTGACACGTCCACACACCTAAAGCACCATATACAAACAGAATAAGGACAAGGCAACATCAAGAAATCGTGTCCAGCGTGGATAAAATCTCACAAGAATTAGACCAAATTTGGCCTAATAGCACAACGCCGGAAGGGAGATCGTTTCGCGCATTAAATGCCTGATCGATTAGAAGAGTTGCCAAGATACACGCGACCCTCAATTTCACGAATATAGCCTGCACGCAAGTGAGTTTCGTCATTCGATTGGAGTCGCTTTTGACTTTTCTGTATAACCAGGCATTTTGATTTGATGTGCATCACTCGAAGATAAGCCTCGTGTTGCAAACCAGTATACAAATTGCCACCGATAAAATTGATAAATACCCAGAGGCGGATCTAAAGAGGGGCGGGGTTGCACCCCCCCCCCGTTCAGCAGCGGACGAAATGACGGGAAATGAGTAAGTCCATCTATCCATCTATAGTTAAGTTTTGTATTCATCAGGGAACGGTGAATGATGCCTTCGGACGCCCTCAACCCCCCCCCCTTTCCTGACAGCTAGATCCGCCGCTGATACCTTTACAAGAATTGGTGTATTAATCACTCGACAAGACCCCTAAAATTTACATTACTGTAAGTTTATTATACCATTTTGAGTTTTTATTCCAGTTTTGATTGTAGGCTTATTAGAGTGGAAAGTAAATTGGTGACAAATTTTATCCAATCCCTTATGGTAAAAAAAAACTTGGTAAGTAAAAATGGATTTATCCCTCCACTCGATTGCGAAAAAGCATTTTAGTACCGATTTTCGTCCGAATTTAACATAGATACAAGCCACTAGCCCTTGACAATTCCAACCACTCCGTCTGGTAAACCCTCAAGTTTATTTGTTACAAAGACAACGCCCTCAGAGAGTTATTGATTCGTTGACAGTGGCCAATAAGTTATTGCCCACTCCCCCCCCCCCGCATATTTAGGGCTGTTGAAGTTATAATCAAATCTGGAATAATCAAAAAGAGTTTCCTTTAATACGGGCGATTCACAATAGTGCATTACCAACAGTTTACAACGCGTTGGCCAATCATAAAGCGCGAAATTTGTCGACCCTTTCCAAACGTGCACTGGGTCGACAGAATTTGTGCATTGTGATTGGCCGACGCATTGCAAACTCTTGGTGGCGCACTTTTGTGAAACGCCCGTATAGCTTTTGGACGTAAAATACATACCGTCTGTGTGGAGATCATTACAGTTGATCCAGAAGTAGTACTTCATGCTCAGAAGGAAGTCCGTTTCCTCCTTGGACTGTGGCACGACTAAGTCACTATCCATCTTGTCGCACTCCACTTTTGCATCGAACCACGTCATTTGGTGATTGAGAGCTTTGTAGCATTTACCAGTCCACTGGGTCCAACCAAAGGGACAGGCATGTCCAATAGCGGTCACACACCCTTCATTTTGAGCAGTGCCTCTCATCGTCAGATGGAGGCTTATCAAGCCGAAAATGAACCGTTTGGGTAACACCATCGTCCTCAGATGCTTACAAGATGGTTTCTGACTGAAGAAATTCCAGCGTGTTGGCAAGCTCATGGACGCTATTGACTTTTGATATATGCCGCATAAATTTATCGCTTCACCGCTGATCTTTAGTTCCTTCACGGTCAAGCGGCACTGTGCGCTTCGTTTCAATGGGCGCCAATTTCTTATGTAATTTGCAAACGGCTTTGTTGCTGCTTAGATTATGTGGTGCTCCTGGAGATGCATCCTTTTAGTTTTCGCACATCACAAACACGCAGCACTGTTTAAATATGGACGGCACTGATATCATGGCTGAAAAATGAGTTTTGTTTCTGTGTAATTAAATGTAATCTTTGTTTTGCACAAGTGGTGGTGATGTCATTGTTACTTTCCTTTTTGTTTGTATTTCGTTGAAATTATCGAGTAGCCCAAAAGAGTCTGCTGCAGACGCGTGGTTGACACTAATTAACAAAAAATTGACAGATTACGAACCGTTACAAACATTTTTGGCCCAGAGCTGGACCAGAAGAGGGCGCAGTTCTCCTGGTAAGGGAGGCTTCTTTGGTGGGAACAGCACTACGCTGGTTTGCAAACGAGTCCGACTATGAAGTGCATACATTGCGGTCGTATCGCATCTAATAAACACTTTCCACCAGCATGGCTCTTTTCAGCCGATGAGGGGGCGCTTGTGCTCGAGGCGGGTCAATAGCCCGGTACAGCTTGTCAGTGAATATGATATATTTTCAGGCTTACAAGCATAACTGACCAATATCCATATTTCTTTCCACTCTCTTTTCATTTAGTGCTGTCTGAATGTCAGCGATGCCTAACCACCTTCTAATGTGACGGCAGCGGACAGCAGCTGCCGTGTTGCCGGTGCCAAGAGGCCGAGTCCCCCTTCAACCGCTCCGCAACTCCTTTGGACACGCTGCCCAGTGCTCACCATGCCCAATAGAATGGGTAGGAAATCTTTGCAATTGTGTTTGGTATTGTTTTTTATCTCATTATGTCTATTAATTTTGAGTAGAAAGACCGTCAAACTTCTGCTTACTTAACATAACAGTACAGTTGAATTAATCCATTCGAAGTTATGTTTTATTTCATTTATGCATGGCTTGATATGCCACGCCGTGCCGCAAATATCAACATGGTAGATGCAAGTTAACGGTAGGTTGCACCAGAGTGATTGTCCAGGAACATTCGTGATCTGGGTATTTTACATAGTTTCGACCATGTTTATTAACACTAAAGATTCGTTTGGTACAAGGTGCATTTGGTCATCTTTCTGCTTCCCGTTCGTTAGGACTGTCCCACAGGGTGTTCGATGTGCATGTGATCCTGGCAGTGCTTGTTTTCGAGGAGTTCAGTCCATCTGTCCTCCAGGCTTTTACTCGGAGGGACATAACTCAGATTAGTTGAAAAGTAATGTGCTGACTATTCCTTGTACCAACTTCTTTTCAACACCACACAGACTCGCAAAAGAGATGTCTATGCATGGCGCTATTGCAAACGTTTTTACAATCCCAGACTAATTGAAAACCCAGATCCAGATGCAATATTCAGTGTAGGCCTATGTTCAATGTACAAACATCTGGACGCAGATATCTGTCGACTGTGTCCACCGGGAACCTACCAGAGCCAGCCGGCCCAGGTTTCGTGCCTGAACTGCCCGGCCGGCTACGGTAGCACTTACGGCTAGGCAGCGTGTTTTACATGCGATCGCACGGCTTAATACTCGCTCGGCGACGGCACTACGTGTCAAAGCTGCACCAGGTACGTCTTCTGTGATTTCAAAACTACTATTGTATATAATCGTTCTTTTGGGTTGTCCACTAAGGAGTGTTTGTGTTGGCTCAAGAACTCGGTTAAAATGGGTTCCGTCCCTGTTATGGCCCTCTTTCCAGTTTCAGGGGTCTCTAGTAACATCCAGAAGCCCATTCTGTATGCAATTCCCCCATCAGTGAATCGCAGGGGACGGTGAAGTTTAAATGCAGCATATTTTGTGACGGGTTTGATTTGTTTTTATAAGGTTCATGGCAGTCAAGTCATGCGGCTTGAGTCATGTGGCTGAATGGTCTACATGCTGTCTTTTGATAGCTCCATGATAATTTGAACCGGTTGGTGCGCTGTTAGTCACACACCGTTCAGGAGGACTGTACAGATGAGATGACAATTTCATTTCAGACAATGAAGGCTTACTTCACCAAGAAACTTAAATGTTGCAGACACTATTAAAACTTTGGCCATTGATGGGTTGATTACATTGTTTTGTTCGCATGCATTAGTTTCTTTCATATTTTGATGTTGAGATGAATAAGGTCTGTGTACGAATGAACCGGGTCCATGCTTCCCTGGAGTGACATGTGTCAACACGTACAAGGACTGGATCGTTCGCTTGTGGAGACTGTCCTGTAGAGGCTACGAAGGAGAAGGGACGGCATTTGTGGATATAGACGAGGTATAGCTTCGTAAAAAGTTCGTAAGTCATAAGTCTCAATAGCAGTCCACAGTATCAGAACATATACCCTCTAGGTTGGCCACTGGATTTTCCTGTCAATTGCTTTACATACACCCCTTCAGAATGACTATTAGTTTTACAGTGGGGTGGGGTTAATCTGTACCTTTCATTTAATTATTATACAGGGCACTGATTTTGATAAAACACGTTTTTAACCCAATTTTCAGCAAATTTCGTTCATACACGTTTGATGATTTGTCCGGTTAAGTTTGTGTTCTTTATTTTTATGTTAAAAACAATCACTAATTAATCCGCTATGTCATGTTCACCTTTGAACTTTTATTTACTATGCATGTTGTAGCTTCCTCATTCCGTGAGCAAAGTACGTTTTGAACAGTCATTGTCACATTTGATGAGTCACTATGTATTGACTTTGATATTTTACATTGTGCCAACGATTGCATTCGTAGTGCCATACAGCTTATCCGTGCTAGGACCCCGACTCCTACATAAAACTGATAGGTGGATATGAATGTGGAGGCTGCCCACCAGGCTATCAAGGCTTTTACTCCTCGTAGCATTGGAATACCACACGCCGTGGCTAGCCAAAACCAGGTAGGCAATCCGACTGAGAGTACTTTGAAGATTTTTCTTGTAACGATATCCAGTTCCCTTATCTCAAAGAAACATCTTTAATTTCCAATCCCAAAACAATTCGTCATGGCTTCTTGTTATCAAAGAAGACTACCCTTTACAAGCGACTAAAATCCTCAGGTTAAACAGAAATGAAGTGGCAAAAATAAAATCGACTGGAAGATAGGTGCGGGCACTTGCCGTATATTTAGTCCGGGCACAAGCACCCAAACTTGACCATCGATCTTCCGGGTTGGCCATAGATTTGTGGTCCGAAGTCGCATCTGTCGCTTTTTGAACGACTGTACCTTTCATGGTTTGACGAAAGAAAATTCCATCTGAGTTTGTCAACTTTTACGAGTTACTTATTCAAATTAAATATGCTAAACGGAATGAAATTCTAGAGCTTTCAACCTATGGACACGTGGAAGACCCCCCTGTAAGTCGTTTCCCTAGTTTTTGAGGAATTCAGAACGATGATCGATAACGGGCCGGGCTGAGTGAGTGACGTAACCTTTGAACTTGATACTTTATTCATGGCGTAGTTCCAGCATTCCTTGGTCAAAGTACATTCTGAATTTGAAATATGCATATTGATATGCATTGATTTCACACTGTACAGAGCTGGATGTTTTCAACGTTGAAAACATTACTAATTGAATACCCCATAATGAATACGTCTAAAATTAAAATAAATATTTCCTCAAACTTTAAAATGAACTTGTGAATCTGTTCTGACAACATTCTGTTAGTCCACACGTATATGAAGTTCATGCCCTTGTCTCTGTAAGGATGACTTCTTGTATTAAATGTTGGGATGTCTTGTTGATAAATTTGTGTCATCTTCATTTATATTTAGCATATACAAAACTACTTTTACGCACGGCCACACCCCCATATCAAAGTTTGCGTAGTGTTATACCAGGACGCAAAATGCGATGTTGTTGATTTTCAGTAAATTTTCAAGGGTGAGACATATCTTCTGAACGGGATAAGCCCTCGGCATATTGAAAAAACTAAACTCCCCGTCTTAAGAGAGGGCGCAATTTTCTTGGCAACTGAGGCTCCTTTGGTCGGAAGTCCACTTCGCTGGTTCAGGATCGATTATGAAATGCGCGCCTTAAAGTCGCATTGCCACTATCAAATGAACACTTCTGACCAACATGGCTCTTTTCAACCGATGACGGGGTGTTTTTGCTCGATACGGAATCACCGTATAAAGCAAAGTTTTTTTTTTTTCAAAACCAAACTGCGGCATGTAAGGTGAACTGTTAAGAAAAAAAAATTGCTGTGAAAAAGTTAATGGGCAATGCGGTCATTTCACAATAACGCGCCTTTAAGCGTTTGCAACTTGTTGGCCAATCACAACGCGCGAAACCTGTCAACCCTTTCCAAATGCGCATTGAGTCAACAGATTTCGCCCATTGTGATTGGCCAACGCATTGCAAACGCTTGGAGGCGCGCTGTTGTGAATTGGCCATATTAATGACAGGGTAAAAACCAAAGTCTAGAGCGTTTCTCCAGGTACCCTGCGTTGAGTAAAACCAACATTTTTCTAGCTTGTTCAAAGTGTTTGGATTTAATGAAATATGTGATATGCTACCTCCAAAACCAGAAAGAAAAAGTGCGACAGTGTATTAGCATGGAATTCACAAAATCTGAGAGACGATTTAATTAACATTACATAAGTTGAAAAACATAAACCAACCGAAAGATGGGTGCGCGGTGTAAGTTTGGCGGTAAGTCGCAAGTAAATTGCAAGCTCTTCAGAGTAAGTACATTGCAAATTTCTGGCTGATAATTATCATAGAAGATATAGTAGATTTGGTTAACAGGCACCCATGGTGGATGTATATGTCGTAATACCAGAACACACCCTCCGGGTTGGCTGCGTGATGAAGTGCAAAGTGTATATATAGCTGCTGCTTTGGGAATGATATTACTGTCACAGTACGGTGTGACAATTCCACTTCGTTCATAATTTCAGCCTTTACGCGGTCATAAACAGAATTGTGTGAATTTAGTAAAAATTTCATTGTTATTCAGTACCTATACGCTTATAATTCCGCACGAGGAGTTCCATTTTTATAATTTTGGGGTATGCAATAGTCACAAATGAGCCAAGTCTTTAACATTCACCTTTGACCTTCGAGCCCATTTTTGTCGGTGTGCATAGTACAATGCACAATACTACATACATGTGCATACATAGATCATGTACTATATAACTGCGTGTATAGACCTCTGCACTGCATGATATCATGCATTGTTTTCATATGGTGCTCAATAGACTTTGACCCCTACTGGCTCCATAGGAAAGTGCGCGTGTAAAAACGCGTCAAGTCATCTGTACATATAGCCTACTGATGTAGTTGTTAGTTAAAGAACAAAGGTGTGAAAAACAACAGGGGTCGTAATTGTTATTTCTGTCCTTGCAACAGTTACCGCACACGTCAGCCGACCTTTATTCTGGATCGCGGCTGTCATCCACATTCTTTCTAAAAGAGCCTCATTAACTCATTAGCAAGGGTAAAATATCATTTCAATAACATATTGTACATCGAAGTATAAGACTGCCCCTTTTCACATGACTAAATGAGAAAATAAGTATTTTTAAATTATTTGAAAAACGGCTGATTCATTGCATTGTTTTTTATTCACGTCCTGGAAAATCTGCGGGAAGTGAAATCACTAAGTCGATTTCACAATCAAATTAATGTTTTCATAGAGGATTATAAAAACAGTGCATCAGTGTTCGAACATAAATAGAAATTTAACATTAATAACTGCTTATACAATTCTTGATGGTTACCGTTTGCAGACATGTATCGATGTGGAAGAATGTGCAGCTAGTAATGGAGGCTGTGATATCTTGTCCGAACGTCTAATACGAAGGTACGCAACGTCGGTCTTTCAGATAATCTGAACTTTTAAAATATGGGTGCAATTATATTGTTTTATTGTGTGCATTATTTAGGCTGCCGTCAGACGATGAGTCATTTGATTGGCTGATAGGTTTGCTCAAAATTGCTGACAGAAAGATTGGGTCAGTGACCTTTCCAGGCGGCCACGTAACACCCATTGAGCTCTAGTTGTCACTTTGTATCATTACAATTGTCTTTTCATATTAGATATTGTCGTTACTTCCGAATGCTTGAAAGTTTGTGCCATCATCATTTATATAACTGTGCATTAAGGGTCAAAGATCACTGTCTCTGTACCCGCCAAAACTGATTGGCTATCTCGCTCTATTAATTGGGTTACATAGCCTGTTAAACCGTGCTTTTCGGATGTGAAAATAAATAACGAATGCGCTGTTCATGGCATCTGCTGTGTTTGGCGTATCAAGTGGAGATTAATGGATGCTGCAAAATGACATTGTCATTTCACCCTCGCAGGATAATTGTCCATGGATTCCAAACAGTGGCCAAGAGGACAGTGGCAGTGATCAGCTTGGGAACAGTTGCGACGACAACGATGATAATGACAGCATTCCGGATAATAAGAACAACTGTCCCTTTGTTAAGAACTATCTGCAGGAGGACGGTGACGGTGTGGGGGACGCCTGAGACAATTGCCCAGTCGCAAACGTAGACCAGGCAGACAACCACCGTGACGGTCAGGGAGATGTTTGCAATATCGACGATGACGACGATGGTTTGTATATTGTGTATGGTTGTCTATCTTACCTGGCCCATCAAAGATTGAATAAATTAAAAACAGCAGGCGCTCTAAATCTTGTCGTAGGTAAATTCTTTTCCAATACTCCGTTTACAATCGTAAACCTTAATGGAGGGGCATGGGGTGCTATTAATGTTTCCTTATCTTTAAGGATACAATGACACCATGGACAACTGTCCGAGGACAGCAAACGAGGACCAGCTACTGGACGAAGATTCTGATGGTATTGGGGACGCTTGCGACCTTGCCCCGATCATCCGAGCCGTGACACGGACCACAACGGATATAGTGACCCTTGTGATCCGGTTATGCTGATCGGAAAACACGCCCTGGCAGCTCTCGACTACTCAGGTACTCTTTTCGTCAATAACCTTGGGCAGGCAAACGACTATATCGGGTTCATCTTTGATTACCAAAGCAACAGGAAGTTTTATCTGGCCGTGTGGCGGCGGGAAAATGTGAACAATCGGAATGCGAAGGCGGACATTCGAGGACATCAGGTGAAGGTAAAAAATAATAACTCAAAAGAAATTTTAAAAATGAGGTGAAGACGCCTTCTTATCACTGTCGGGAATGAAGATAATTTGTTATAAGAGCGCATTAATTATTCATATTATTTGTTTCTTATTTCCAACGGGGAAACCTTTCAGTAGGACACTTTTCCCGAGGTACCCAGCAATTACAATAAGATTCATTACCACTAGGCCTACACTTACAAACAGTACGAGTGTTTCACGGTTGTGTGCCTGCAAGAGCTTGCACCTCTTTGGCCAATCACAGTGCTCGAAATCTGTCTGTCAACCCTATGCGCGTTTGGAGATGGTCGACAGATTTCGCGCATTGTGATTGGCCAACGCGTTGCAAACTCTTGGAAGCGCACTTCTTGTGAATCGCCCGTACTGGGAAAATTTAAAAGAAATAAATGAAAATGCAAGAAGTTATCAAATCAAACAGTACATTAAAACGCATTATTGCGAGACTGTGCTTATAAGCATTTACCTGAGCATAAAAAATAAACACTTCACAGCAAAAGCAACAGTACCGCTACGTTCATTTAAAAAGCAGGATGTTATATATTACATGCTTTTCAAATTTGCTACAATAGCGAGCAGAGAAAATTTGACAGAAGTAGGAGGGGAATTGTAAATATATTTCACCAAATATTTCCAAAATGCAAAATTAAACCAGCATTAACTTGAAGTTTACCTAACGTCCTATATGGCTGACTAAGGTACTATAGTACCTTAGGGTAAACCCTCAGGCTTCATCTTTCTAATTTCAGATATAATCTTTATCACCCACTTGACCAGAAAGTGCACTCGTCCAGTGGGCTCGCTGCAATTTACCACTCGCACACAACAGCCAATGAGGTGAAGCTACTTTGGCATGATCCATTATTGCAAGGGTGGACAGATGACGCACAGATGGACTCTTAAACATCGTCCCGATGTCAGATTGATCAGGTAGGACAGATAATAATCCATTCAGTGAGTGGAAAAAAGCTCAAGTAAAACGACTGTATTTTAAGGTTGCACAGTTATCGGGAAATCCATTCTACTTTAACAGTAAAGCCAAAAAGTGTCAAGTAACCATGCGGTCTAAATATTTTTAATGAAGTGAAAAAATGTGTTTCCTACAATACACCACTAATACCACTTGCATCGATATGATGCCATGGTCGTTGAATCTGTTGGCTTGTTGACTTTCATGGAGTTTCTTGTCCACAGGGGGCTATTCAACCTCCAACGTCCAGGCGCCTTCTGACGATAAAGGGAAGCAGCGCTGTCATTTCAATGATCCCGATGATGACAAAGGCCAGATTGTAACTGCCAGTTTGGTCAAAAATCCAACCTGGATGGAAAAAAATTACTTTTAGATACACACGTTTGATAATAGTCTACAATATAAATGCTCTTTTCAAATGCAGTATACAAACATTTCGTTGCCCCGTCGTTCTCTTCCACTCAAATGAGAGGCGTTGGACGTAATGTCATAATTATAGTAATCAATATCGCAACAGTGCTAACAAGTCTCTCTTTGGCAGTTCAGCCTCGTTTTCATAGCTGGTATTTCCTTACAAGAAGCACAAGGTCTCGTAAATTTACAGACAACTCAGTTGGTTCAAAGCTATCTTACTCAAGTGAAATGTTTCAATTTTTATCAAAGTATGTGATGGAACTCCTCCATCACTTGGTTACCGGTTGATTCTTTCTAATATTTTGGTGTAATATGCAAATGGTTTGTGAATAGTTTACCTGGTAAGAAGCCCGCGATAGGTCGGCACATCCCACTGAACAAACCTATCCAGCCGTAAGCGTTGGCCATTTTCTCAGCACCAAGAACTTCCTTCATGATGACGTCACTGGCAGCCCACATGGAAGCATTTCCCATCATCAGGAGAACAGCGTTGGCCGACACCAACCACACAGAGTTCATCCAGGGGTCAATGATGAAGGAGATACCAAAGAGAGCCAAGCTTAGCAAAAAGGCCACGGATGATGTCACTTTCTCTTTAAACATAGCTAGGCTGGCAATTGTTATGCCCATAATGTAACCCAGCCCGGCCACAGTCGCCATTGTCGTGGCTGTTTGCATGGAAAACCCTTTTTCAACGGCGTGGGGCACGAAATAAATTATCCATGCCGATTTTCCTATTCTGCCCAATACGTAGAACAAAAGGATGACCCAAAACTTGTTTTCCCGCATCAAGATCGGGTCAAACCGTCTCGTGATGTTGACGCAGGTTGCTTTCAGCTGAGCAAGCATGCCTTGTTTGCTCCGTTTTTGAGAGGTTCGACTTCCAGGGAGCGGCTGGTATTCTTGACCGTCCTCCTTTTGCCTCGATTTCGGGATCATCAGGGCGCCGCACACGATGAAGTTAGCGGCCATCGCGGAGACCACGAGGAGAGCGCCCCTCCATCCATACTCATCCAAACACAGCTGCACCAGAGGTGGTAGGACGAGCAAACTGAAAGCTGAGCCGGTTTTACCGATTCCTGAGGCCAGCGAGAACTGCCTGTCGTCATAGTGCTGCGCGAGGTTCGCGCGGGCCAACACATGGGGGAATGCATATCCAATTCCTGCCGCCATATGATAAAGAAACACACACGGTTAGCCTCGGCACCAGAACAGCTGTTCAATCCGTCATCTTATTCCTTTATAAATAGTCCCGTCAGATTCAAACAACATCGATATATAATTCCGGCTTTCACGTCACTTTTTAAACGCCTTAGCAAAGTTTTAAAAACTGCATCTATCAGATTAGGGTCTCAAAGTTCCGTGTGGTAAAACTCAAGGATTTATTTTTTCCGGTATTTTATGATGCCACTATTTTCTTCGCCAATACCTTTGAACAACTTTCCCCCTTTCAATTTTACACCTGATATCCGAAAAGTTCTCTCGTATCAGAATAGCCTGCATATTCATTCCGATTCGTCTGAAACCATCAGAATGAAACACTAACCTACAAATATATTCAGATAGAGTGCAATTTGAAGGACATTAGAAGCTCTGGAAGCAACCATGAATCCTGCAGTGATCATGATTCCGCTTATCATGACGGTTGGTCGGGCACCGAATGTCATGCCGAGCGCACCCGCAATCGGCGCTAGGAAAGAACAGAGAACAGCATTTTGAATGATGATACTGTAACTCTATTTCAGTGTGCTTTCTTGTTTCGCTTTGCTTAAAATAATCCCAATAAGCAACATTCCATATTATTCCGGATTTGAAAAAGTTGGATTGGTAAAATGTGCTGCCGCATTATTAATAAATGTTTGTTATCATTTTTACTACATGTGTTTAATTTCTGGTAATGACACCACGGATTCCTCAACTGAGCGCCCTAGGCACTGTTGTGTAGTGCGCTGTTGTGTGTCAAGTTTCATCGCACAGTTCTTTCGCAGTTCTGTAATAGAACTTTGTAACCTCATCAAAGAGAATTTCCGATATGGTGCTACCGCCGACTTACTTCTCTTGTAAGTATTGTTTCGGAGTAAAATCAGCAAGATTAGAGAACAAGCTCTGCTGGACTATAAAAAGGTATAGATAAGATTATAAAATTAACCAATGACGAAAACTCCACATATTCTAGGACGTACACACTAAAACCTCCCGTGTCAGATTGACCCAGAATTGGGTCACCTTCGGCGTGACCCAGACAGGGTGAAATATGATCCGAAAGGGGGGTCATTTTTGACTCGGAAAAGGGTCACGCCACAGGGGACCCAATTCTGGGTCAATCTTAGGGTGTAAGGACGTTGTGGCCAAGTTAACAGCCCACACATGCACCTACCTAGGAAGTCATTGACGCATTCTACAAACTCGAAGATGGTCCCCATCTCCCAGGTTGCTGCCTCGAATTCTTCCCTCATGTCCACGAGGAGGATTCCTAGAGTCTTGATGATCATAGCTTGCAAGAAGAACTGCAGAAAAACAGCAATCGTCGCGAGGACGCCAAGGGTGGAGCGGTTGGAGCCTCCCATCTCGTCAACCACCTGAAGCCGGAGTGTGTTCGAACTGGCGATCTGAATTGGTCAAAGTCGGATTGTACTTTGACATTAAAAAGGTATCAGTTTAAATATTTACAGCATGGAAATGACGTAGAAGTTGCTCTATGCCAATTTGCATTTTTAAACTAATTATTGGAGCATTTGCAAATTGCATGCCAAGCTCGACATTTCCATAATGCAGCTCGTATTCTCAAAAACCGTGGCATGTTCTCAACACTGTGTTGCTACCAAACGCACGGGAAAGCAGATTGCACTAGAGCAATTTTTGAAGGAACGTGTAAGGTATTTTTTCAGTTGAAACGTGGCAGAAATTGTAATGTGTCTCCATCACTATTTCACCCTTTTATCATTTATTTTGCTACGAAACTTTGGTCGATTGTTTTATATTCATTGTATGGTGATGTAATTACAGTACCCGTCATTTCTCGAAAAACTGTTTATGCCTCGATGTCTCAACTGATAATGTAGAAATGCATCACTAATCAATAAAGAATAAAAAGAAGTGACGGATGATGTAGTGGAATTTCTAACCAATCCTGTAGCTGCAGCAGGTATTTACAAGAATTCTACTTATTGCCTATCAGAAGAGAATGTATCTCGTAAAAACGACTATCGGAAGAAATATTCCCCGCCTTCTAAAATATGATAGCCCTACAGAGCTTTTGCAGTGGACGGCTATCTCTGCTTTAGATGCAAACTTCACGTGAAGCTACAGCGTGTATAATTATGGATGATTCCAGAAATTAGGGGTCCATTTTTGTCGTGTCCCTGTCACATCTGACATATGATCTTGTAAGTTAAAAACTCATATTCTAATTGGAATTCCGGGAGCGATGAGTTAATGCAAATTACCTGCCAAACAAAATAGTAACAGTTTGAAATCAATTCCGGTGATATTTCCATGTCAAAAAATAAATGTCAGATTAACAAGGACACAAAAATGGCACACTTTTGGACCCCTAATTTCTGGAAATATTTCTTCTCAACTTGATGATACCACAATTATGCTAATACTGATTATTATTTTTTTTAGCTTATTAAGTACATGATGCTTCATACATGAATGCACTAACGGGTCGGTTTCAGCTCGGTGAAGTTATTTGCAGCTGTTGTACCGTGTGGCTTCGGGTTACTAAACATTTGCATCTGCGGAATACATGAAGAATAAATCACCTCTCACAGCTCATTAATTTTTTCATGTGCATGTGTTTCCTATAATCACATATGCACTGGTTCAATGTGTACACAGTTGGTTACTAGCACAATATGGCACGAGCTCTTTCTTTAGTTTACTATCGTCCTTTCTTAGTTTACTATTGAAGTTAACTTGCTCCACACTTCTGCACATGAAACAGTGCAGTATAGTTGTTGGACATCACAAAAGTGCAATTTGATATTCCAAGGAGGGATTGTCGGTTCAGTGCACAATATGACACAGCTGTGCATCTTTGTGCGGCTTATCAACTGATCCAAAGAGTGACTTCAGCATCAGACGGTTTTAAATTAATGGAAATCGGCTCTTTGGTAAAGTCAAACGAAAACGTTGAGCAGTTCCCGATATAGTTAACGGTAAAGGTAAATCTCACGTACACCACTTTGAAGCAATGTGGTTTTTCTGTTCCTTCCAACCGTTATCCCCAGCCTGTCTCCAATCTTTTCACCTTACTGCATGCATTAAAATAATCCTACAAAATGGTAGACGAAACTTAAGTTGGGTTCCATCTAATGACACATTTCCTTGGGAAACCTCTGTCTGTGGGATTTTACTCGGGCTGTTCAGGAACATAGTTTTTAAGATTTTAATCAGTTTATTTACTTATGCTTGTTGCATTTTGTCCTTTGATTAAAATGGCCTGGCCCTATTCACGCGACTTTTTATTTTGTCCGTGTACATCAGCAAAAAGCCCTGTACAAACAATGACTTACCTGTCTCCCATTTAGTTATTTATTCTCCTATCTATGGGCACGACAGCTAATGTAGTAGGTCATTAGGCATTGGACAACATTCGATTTGTCCATTCCAAATTATACTCGCGGGGACCAGTCACAAGTGTGTCCCAAGCCGTACAACGTATATATGCTGGTGTTGTGTGTAATTGACATTATCACTCAGAAATCGTAGTTTCAAAAATGCTTGAGAATTCAAAATCCCTCTTGCTTTAGAACTGACTTTGGAGCAGGATCAATGCTCCTACTTTATTATTCTTAGATTACTTATCATAAGCCGATTTTGGAGCGATGTCTATTATGAGCGTTGGTAATTAATATATTGATAGAAAAGTACGATTAACAATTTCGCCTCAAGGTGCAAAGCGTCCCTCGGGTGAAAGAAACTATACCATAGCAGTCAACAACTGTTTTGTCATATACCTCCAAAAAACGAACTCTGAATTTCAGAAATTCAAAAGACTGCGTAAACTTTAATGTGAAAGTATAGTGCGGTTACTGGTGAGTACAGTTTCGCATGTCCTGTAGTCGGGTTAGCGGTTCCTGCATTGCCTTATACGCTGCGGGGACGGGAACGAGTCTATTATAGTACTAGCGCGACCATTGATCGAATATCTCAGGATATGTCGTTATCCAGAGACATCCAGCAAACGTGATGGCTACTTCACTACTTGTAACAAGCGGTGAGACATCATGACGTTTTATCAATCTAATTAATATTATGTATGGCAAAAGGAAGATTATGCTTTAAAAGACGAAAGCACCTCAGGTCACCTGTGCGTTGTCAAGGTGGTTTGTCAATGCACACATTCACAAATAATGCCATTGTTCCACTTTTACGATGTCGTCATCCATGATAAAGTATCTCAGGATGCCGTCATCTTACCTTTACGATGTCGTCATCCCAAGAAATAGTATTGCAGGATCTTAACAAGTCGGATGGCACTTCTGGAGCTCTGTACTGCCCAGCGCCACGGACGTATATCATAATCTGGACCCGCAATGCAGCATTCGTGACACGGACGTCGTTGAAGCTATCGGAAGTAGAGTGGCAGCCATTTTACCGTGCCGGAAGATTCTAAACTAATCAACGCTAGCGTATGGAAGACTGCCACAATTTCTAATATTTTTGTAAAAAATATTCAGTAAGTTCAGTGCACCGAAGAAAACGTGATTTATGGCCAAAGATTGTTTACAGTTCTCTGCCGAACGGAATAGAGGTTATTTTCACGTACAAGGCTCACTGGCGATTTAGCACGACTATACCTAAGGTTTCTGTTCCAATACTGATCCCATAATTAGTAAACTTTTTTAATTAAGAAACGAAAAAATATTTTTTGGGGGCTGGCTTTGTATTAACTATTTATGAATTGCTTGCATGATTTCATTTTGCTTCTTTATAACAGATGCTGGCCAACACTTGGAAATGTCTTTTTCATGCAGGCCCCATGTCAGTCTTAGTTATGGCAAAATGAAAAGGAAAATTCTCCATTTTAAACTTAATGCACATTATGCCCGTCAACTTGATCTTTTTTAATGGCCAGGCGTATCTCAACACACCCTTCAGATTCTGTTTATATGAAACGTAATCGTCAAAACTATACCAGTGAAATGTAACTTGCCTCAGGATCTGAGTTAGTCTTGCCAAATGTTCTGCACGATGCGGCATCACTAAGCAGCACATCTTCCTCGTGTTTCAGTTCTTGTGAAAGAAAATCCATATTTATTACCCTCCGGTGATAATTGAATGTAGTGCACTGAAATTATTTACTATTTTCGACAAAAAATATCAAAAATCGTGGCAGTCTTCCATAGGTAAGTGTTGAGTTTAGAAACTTTTGGCACTGTAAAATAGCCCCACAGGACCTCCAATGGCTTCAATCAATCAGGAGAGAGGTGGGTCCAGATTACGTCCGTGCCAAGTGCCCTGTTGGAGCGCGGCTGGGCGAAGAGCGAATAACCATTGTTGTGCCTTGTAGAGGGCGCTTTCAAACACATCGCGTAGAGGGCGCCAGGTAGACACTCTGTGCTTGGGCCGCTTTTGGCTTGGGTCGAGTTCGGGCGGCCTATTCTTGACACGGTTTTGTGTTCTCGCGCTCGAACCGGCGGCGGCGGGAACACGACTCAAGAACACTTTTCTCGGAACAGGATCACACACCACCTCCTCGTTAGAGTTGCATGGGAACACGCGGGAAACCTCGTGAGAGTTTGAGTTTTGAACTGCAAAAAGTAGAGAGATGGCTTCCAAAGCCAGAGATAATGGGAAGTTTTGCAAAATTAATAAAAATTATTTTCCATGAAACAGAAATGAATGTTCCTGTTTAAATAGAAAAGAACTCAGCCCATCCAAACATTAACTTCCGAATAACGTACACGGACACGGCCGTGTTGCGTGTTGCTTGCCACTAACTACCAGCAATAACCGGTTGTTTGTTCCTGGTGTTCGAGCGGCCGACCCACGAACAACAAATCGAACTGCTCGTGAACATACGGGAACAAGTCGCCCGAACTCAGCCTTGGCCTCGAGCAGCAAAACATTCTAGAATTGACCTGTAGATACTTAAAGAAGTATCGAAACAATTTCAGACAATGAAGCACTCTCAAGACTGTGTTTAGCAATTAAAACATAATCTTACTACAATTATACTTTCAAGAAGCAAAATCCCTCAATATGCAAGCATATGTATGTGTTGTAAATGTGTAGGGTTTCTGTATTTAAAACAGGTCTAATCATCAAGAAAATGATTGAAAAGTGTTCAATAATTGTAAAAGCCAGCTTTTTGCAGCGCATCCTTTTGGACTCTGAGAATTAATGAAATGAGTTTCTCATTCAAACGGATCTTTTTAGAGCTGATTTCTGAATGAGTTTACTAACTTTGATGCTGCATCTTTCATAGGAAGCAGAATGCTGCTGGACCAAGCGTCTTTCATAGCGGCCTCATCCATGGCAAAGCGGGCTTTGTGCCAAGCTCCTTGGATCATGGACGTTACCGGGTGACCTACCAGAGAGCAGACGACGTAAACAGCGCAGCGCGGGGAGGCCAAACGCCCATGGGCGAGAGGAGCTGTGATCGACCATTGAGCGTCCGAGAGGAAACTTTGAAATAAGCAGTGCATGCCTTGAAAGCAAACGCCATACCCAAACAATGACATCTCAGCATTGTCAGGTTATTCTGACGCAAATCATTGTGTAGAACCATCACCCATGACAACGACGTTACGCTTCGGACTTGGATGCTCAAGCATTATTCAGTGAGCTGTCAGTAGGGGAGCTGTGCTACCCTTCCCGGGAACGGTATGTTTATTCTTCTTCACGGCATGCCAACAGTTTTATCCCACAACTGGCGTGCCAACATGTCATTTGTGCCTTACATGCTTGGTTGAGTTCCAAAGAAAGCTTTGTTCCAAAAGAAAGTGGCGTCGGTGAACAAACTTTTTAGGGCATAGAGTAAATAAACTTTACGTTGTGAACAATTGAAGGCAAGTCTCAAGATGCACGAGTTTTTATCATTAATATCAGTCAATAATAGTTCGCGTTTTAGCTGTGTGCTTTACATTTCATGATCTTACACGTTATTTCCTGCTGTTTTCCTTGGTGCAGATTTGGATAACCAGATTCTTTTTGGTCATTGGGAATTTTCGCTGTTTTCCTGTTTTCTACTTAAAGTTCTTATCGCTGTTGAAATCCAGATATCGCGGTATAACATTCGTGTTCGACAAGAGGCGTTATGTGAACAGAAGAGGGTTTAAATTAAAGCGACATTCCTATTTTTGAAATCGGCATGTTTATTCGCAAAAGTTACAGAAGAGAAACCTTTCCTGAATACTGAACACCCGTTTTTAGAGTCCAACAACCTCCGTCTTCAATGTTGGTATTTTATTTTACCAATAAATTTTAAAATTTAAGCGAGTAACTTCTCTCCAAAACTAACATGAAGCTCGCTGTAAAGTGCTGGTAAAATTCGGTTATGAAACATTTTGAAGGTTCCTATGCCTTTAAAACTATAGGCACGCCCTGACAAGTTCCGCGACTGTAGATCCAGGTACGTGTGCATTGTACGAGTACATAATGTTGTGCAATGCCGCGGGACTTGAGCACGCATGGTCCGGCGTGACTCAACATTTCCATCAATTGGGTTCGACATCACACGCCCAACTGTCGGTGGACAGGAGCAGTTCGGTCGGGACTGTATTGACTGGTCGTCGCTGGCAGCCCAGGTAAGAAAAGCGTTTGGTCTTTTTAATTATGGCCAATGTTATCTCCGTATCGGGCTATTAGATATTCAAAATGTACATGGGCATGTCCAGGATTTTCCTACCAAGTTAATTTGTCAAACTGCGTTCGCAATTGCGTCAAATTTCCGAGTGCTCATATGATCATCAGTAAAGATCAGGTCCGTGCTTTCGTGTGAACTGTTGAAAGTAACACGCCAGGCAGACATCCGTAGATATACAGGCCAGTTTTTTACGGTTCTCAACAAAGTGAAATTTACTTTTAAAAGCCCATTTTGTACTGTACATTGTCATCGTTGCTTAGGACCTGAGATTTTGTAAGCAACTTCCAATTTGTTCATGGGTCTGGTCTAGCTCTCTTGGGGCTTCATGCACATGTGCACGGCATGTGACGTTGCCTCTTGAAGCTTGAGTGACTTGGCCGGGCATGTGGGACTCGTACCCCCAAACCGGACCAAGAAATTACACACAATAGATATTGATCCTTCTTTGTGGAGGGTTTCAAAGTCCCTTTCGAAACAGGATCCGATATACAACTGGATCTCCTCAATCAGAGTTTGGTTGCAGAAGCGGATCCAAGAATTTCCGAGGGAGGGGTGTGTTCAAATGAGGACATATACGTGTGTATATATATATAATTTTTTTTTTACAAATAGTATGAATTTCAAGGTGACTATCGCTTTCCTGCATCGGAAATCGGACCACTTCTTTAATGTTCATTTGAGTATTTCGGTACATCCTAAAACCTATTTCTCTGTGTCTTTTCCCCGTGGAATTGTATGCACGACATTTCTTATACTGGAAAAAGCTCAGAGACAAGTGAAAACGTCACGATGACGTTATCAGGTGTTAATTGATTTGATTCTCCTGCGATTATGTACATGTGGGTATTACGTATGGAATGCATGTAGCAGAAGAGATGACATTAGCTGCAAATACCGGGAATATCTTCAGAGGGATCTAAATTGTTTGAGGAAATGGTGTGACAATTACTCCTTGAAATTGTTATTGTTTTTTATTTAAACCATCTTTATTGAGGGTAGAAGCCGATCTTTTGGGGCCCTCATTAAAAAAGAAAAAGAAATATATCAAGAGCGTAATATAATTATTACCACCTATACACAAACATACAAATATATACAAATATGTATACGAAAGCCCAAGTTTACTTTAAGTGCAGTTTCTAAAGCAAAAATATTAGGACTTTAGATACAGAATGATCTAAAATGGAATTCCCAGGTTGATAAGATGTTGGCCAAGGCTGGTCAAAGACAGTTTATGTTTTGTAGCTGAAAAACTTTGGAATTAGCAGGGAAGAATTGCAGTGGTATTCAGTTGGTACATCAGACCAGTGCTAGAATCTGCTGATGTTATTTGGCATTCTGAGTTGACATGAAGCAAAGTAATGGTATTGAATGGATTCGATAAAAATATAAAAATATTTTAGAAGAGGATTATTCTCATCATGAAGATGCCTGTACAACCCTTGGATTGGACACTTTAGCTAATAGAATGGAAGATTAGTCCTACTGCTGTAACTTTGCCAAAATATCCAGGTTAACCCTCGTATACCAAATCATTATTTCCTTCTAGCTTTGAATGTCATTGGAGAAATTTACGAAATAATAGAAGTAGTACCACTATTTGGACCAAACCAAATCGATTTAAAACTAGTCCTATTCCTCGGCTTTCTACATCAACATTCTGAATTCATTATTCTTACTTACCGGCAATTTGATTTAGGCTTGAGCAATATATCCTGGAATGGTACCGTGTCACTTGTTTGGTCTCTGACGTGTTATGATGTATAGACGGTGTATGTTAGGCTTGTTTATATTTTTAATTATTCTTATATAAATTTATTCTGTATTTGTATACATTTGGGTCATTTTAACAGTTTTGTTTTGCTGTTATTGTCTATTTTAATGGAAATGATGTGCAATTCAGCAACTAGGCTGCAAGACATCGTGGATTTAGTAAACTAAACTAAAGTAAATTCAAAAGAATTAAGGAAGTCTTTTTCCACAGCCAGCATTCCTCCCCATTAATATTGGTTTCAATGGTACCCGTTTGTTGTTGCCATATCAATTATGTTGCCCAGCAGCTGAGATTGAAAGGAATTACGGCAGATGAACTTGGAGATTGATGAATCGATGTTTGTCCGCAACTGTAGTCATTATCCCCATTAAAAACACAACATCATAGATCGGAATGTTGAATTGTCAGAAAAAAATTTCCCAACAGTCCAAACACGACCTTAATTAGTCACGTGACCCAATGATATGACTAATTGCTCTGCCTCTCCCTTCGTAACCAACATCATAACATTAATATAATATGTTATATAAATTTCTGTCTAAAAAAATTGGCGAGTTTCCATGTAGCACAATCCGGCAGAGATAAAAATCAAAGAAAACAAACAAACAAACAAACAAAAAAACCCACAACAAAGAACCGCGTATAAAAAGTGGTAATGATGCGAAATGCAATCAGTCGCGATCTAAATGATATGACGTTTGAACTGAGAGAGAAATGGACGCTTGCTTGAGCATATCAGAGGGCGAACATGCAACAAAATCCCCCACCCTTATCCCCTTATAGATAAGGGAGATTAGTTTTGATATTCGGAAAACTAAGAATGCTATATCCTCCGAAGATCAGAATGAAAGATGTATTGTTAGGCATTAAATATGTACCTTTGGACTTTCATCGATGAGAATTTGAACTGGAACACAGATACTCAGCCTGTTGTAAAGCAGATCGAAGGCTCCACGTTATACGTTATTTCAAATCTACTTTTGATTGACTTCCTACAAAAGTGTCATTCAATCAGTTATTTCTTTTTCTACTATCGTATGACCAAGGAAAATC